ATAGGTCTCTACATATAAAGATCACCCCCACTAAATTAGAATAGACTTCACGGAAACATATGAACCAGCATCTGACGTCTTCAGAGCTGACTGCTCAGTGACTGTTTTCTTGCACAAAAGATGATTCTGATAATTATTAATATTATCTTTGTAGTAATGTCTGCACATTTCCAGCAATATAAATCCTCCTTTTTCTCTTTCGCTTTGTCAGCTAGAAATCGCAACATCATTTCTTTTCCACCAATGGGTTGTCTCTCAGTATTCGTTTTACTCATCAAACAAACAAGCGTCTTTGATGACTTAAAGTTTATAGTAAATGTCGGGTAAATGTCCGCGAACGAACTTGTAGGTCAGTCATAACCGTCTAAAGTGGTAATTGCAGAGCTGTGAGCTTAACCACAAAGGAGATCAAACAACAATTATCCCTGATGCCGTTTCTTTAGAAATAATTTTTGAATAATAAGTGAGCTAATAAATCATTCTCAGTTGTAGCAACGGTAACAGAATTTAACCGGGCTTTGCTTTGGTCAAGCAGCCGGGTTCTGTACAACATATACATATTAGGCGCGCTAATGAAAATGGCATGTGGTGTGACAGGAACGTGAACCTCAGCCTTTGGAGCTTTAGCATCGACGACGGCAACGGCAGCGAAAACGTCAGTTTTAAAATGAATTCCCGTTTTCTCAATCTTTGTCGCGTTTATTCCAATTTGCTGAAAATGGCAAGTGTAGGCGAATTTCCCTGGAGTTGATTTATTGAGGACCGCACTCAAGTTTAGAGAGAGAAAAAGAGATTCGTCGTCGCTTGTTTACGTCCTCCATAAAACCTGCAATTAGGCATTTTCACGTCGTAGTCGTGCAAGGACGGTAAAGAAATGTACAAAAAAGCGTGATGCACGTGCAAAGTTGTTGTTTTGCTAATATAAACCTATTGCTTTTTTGACGCCCTCGTTGCCGTCGCCGTCGTCGTTGCTAAAGCTCCGATCCCTAATAAGTTTACACAGTGACTTCTGATTCGAATGATTGCTTTCAATCGTTTTCTTTTGAAATGGTTTTAGATTGCTGCAGAGGTGATTACTTACCTTGCTGAAGGAGTGATATGAACAGTAAGGCTATTATTACTCTCATTGTGTATCCTTTTGAACCGTTGAATGCCGTGTTAAGCGATAATAAAGGAAACAGAAGAGGAACAGATGCACTTAGAGGAAAGGGCTATCTTCCATAAAATAGCACATCATAGATCTTAGGTGTCGAATTACTCCCTTCCGCATCTCTTCTTAGAAAAGAGAATTCCGCTTTTGCGTCATATTATTAAAAATAAAGCAATAATGTCATGTGATGAAATTTAAATGTTGCATTGAGCAGTTCGGGAGTATGCCAGTTCTGGAAGAAGCGATGACGTCATGATTTCATTGTTCTGCTAAAAATACGCAAAAATGGGAAAAAATAATCGCCAAAAACAAGGGAGCTTTTTTCAAAGCCTGTTCCAGGTCCACTCGTTCAATATCCGGGACTTCAGAGCTAGCAGTGCTGATGAAGAAGCCTTTTCCTTGCTTCTTGAATGTCAAGAGCAGTTTCGTGCCACATTACGGTAGTTAAAATCGACAGTTATCAAACAGCGTTCGAAGACGTCGCCGCCATATTGACGGGCATCGAATGTAAGTACATGTCTTTATGTTTAGTTTTCAGTATCTTGCCGAATTTTTACGAAATCAAGACTAATTTTCCTCAAAACTACAACGTGTAAGGTGTGTTCAGGCAAAGTTTCATCGATGGTAACAACCTAGTAAAAATGGTAACCACATATTGAAAATTGCCAACGGACAGGAAGGGTTACTATATTGATGGTTATGCCTCAGTCTGTCCATGTATTTTTAGTTATAAGCGATCAAGTCTGTTTTTGGTTGTGTTCACCGGCAATGTATGCGACTCTGATCTAGAAATCACTTTATTGATCCAGATCATGTGAGTGGAATGAGTTTTAAATCAGTGTGAGTAGGTTCTTATATTGATTTCTTATATTTTGATCAGGATGTTCGTCCAAAATGTAG